GCTGGTTTTGTTTACAGCATAGCCGTAGACAAGCAAAGCCCAAATGGAGTAAAGGAAAAAACTGTCTTTTTCATGTAATATAATCCTTAATTTATCTTAATTATTAACCATCTTCAGAGCACTGCAGTTCACCCTCAATATTCTTGAATATCAATTCTACCTCTTCCTTTCTTGGCTTCCTGTTGCACATGTTGTTACCACATTTTCTTGGTGAGTTACAAAATATGTTGAGTTTCAATGTCCTTGTTAGCAAAGGCTGAAGATGCAACTATTATCTTTTTGAGGGGTGGTTGGTCTCCACTGGAACTAAAATTTTCAAATGCTTGCTGCCTATCCTACAACATCTGGTCTTTATTGCTTAACTGAAAGGGATGGGTCAATTCTCAGCTGGGAATGTCCAGAGCTAGCTGTTTTTCTGCAGTTGCATAATTTACCTACCAGATTTTCTGCAAGTTTGACTCTTAAGGTGAGTTATGTTCTACACAGATGGTTTATGGCCTTGTTCAGCAAGACAAATAATTGGCATTGCCTGCATTAAAATGAGAGCAAAACAAATGGTGCTACTTCCTATTGTGTAGAATGAACTACAGCAATCATTTGTTCAAGATTTTTTCACACTGATATTTAGGTGCAGATATTTCAATAATTTGTTGAAGAAATGTCTTGACATTACATTTTGAACTTCAGGGATGCCAGTGGGTGGATCTCTGCTCTAGTAAAAGCAAGTTACAGTCAACTGTATGATGCATAAGAGCATGTGAAGCCACATGGCACTTGGGAAAGTTTCAAGATCTCATTCAGTGTTGTAAATTCTGAAACAAGGTGCTGCACTAAAGCCTGGCTTGTGTGCAAAATTCCTTCCTGGATTGTCATGTACCCATTGCACAGGACAGGGGGTGTTGTGCACTGTAGTGTGGATAGTGTCAACCACAGTATAACAATCAACAGAAGTTGGCTCAACAGTATTTTATGTGATGGTCAACTTGTCTGAATATTCACAAGGGGTGAAAACTTAAAGGTAAAATTACAATGTACCAGATAAAAAAGGGCTAAGACTAATTACAAAAGAAGCGAAATTGAAAGTAAGACGAAACTAATTACAATAGGCTGCAACTTACTTCTGATCCTGCTTTTAAGAGGTTAAAGAAACTCTGTCATTGCATAACTTGAACAAATGAAACTTCTGTAAAAACTCCAATTGAGCTCTTTTGATCTCCTAACTTATAACTTTTTCAACACTTAAAGGGCATACTATATTAACGTTACTAATTCTGGACTGTTTTATACTGGAGTTGCTAGGTATGTAAGTGATTCAAGCTGTGAACAGTGGTATCTGAAAATAGGGGCATACACTGACAATGAAATAAAACAGAACTGTATTTACTTTAAATTCACAATGAAGGAAATTATATAATCAATTTCCTCTTTTTAAATGTTCATTACATTGGTATCTGCTCTCTTCCCCTTTTTTCTGTTGCTGGTGCACACAAGTCATCTCTTCTGAGGATACTGCTGCCCCTGTGTTGGTGGCATGAGCTCCAGAAGGTGACAACCAGAGAAACTAATTATTTCCTCCTCTTTTTTATTGAAACATGTTTTCATTCCCTCCCTGATACTCTTCCTTTTTGAAGGTGGGCTTTGCAGTTGTGGCTCTTAACAGCATTTGTGGAAACTATAGGAATAACTCTAAACCAATCGAGGCTAAGGAGGGCACTAGTTGCCCACAAATACAGGATTTACCTTGGGGAACTAGGAGGTAACTACTGTTACATAACAGAATTTAGCTAAGAGAACTGTGTGGGAATGAATGATCAACACATGCCAAAATAAGGTGTGTCGGGAAGCAAAACTAATGTAGGAAGTAACTGTAATAGTAGTTGTACTAATCGTTGTTGTAGTAGTAGTAGAAGTAGCAGCAGCAGCAGCAGTTGTAGTAATAGAATCATTGCAACAGAAGGTAAAAATAGATTAAAAATTAGATCCAAAATAAAGTAGTGACTTGGTCACATTCCCCCCTACTTTTGCTTGCTATGTCCTCATGTAAGTAGAGTAAAACAAAACAGATCAATGCTCCCTTAAAAAGAACATCAATACAGGTAATTAAACTGTACAGTTATTTCTTGATTGTCTGAGACTCACAGTAGGGGCAGGGTGGATCTCTGTGGCTCTGCAATTGGAATTGGCATAGGGTTCTGAGGAGTTCACCAGAACTTCACCAAGAGGAATTCTGTTGCTCCTTAGAGGAAGCTCTCAAATTCTTGATAGAAAGTGGGGTAGTGACCTCTGCCAGGGGTTTGGAACTTGCTGTTCAGAATGGTTAACTGCTTTTATAGGTCTTTGACCATCGACTGGTTCAATTTGATAAACTTTGTCCTGGCATTGTCTTCTCCACAATATGGTTCCATTGGTTCAAGTTGCTATGCTTTATGTGTTTGTGGTTTTATTTCTCTTGCTGAAAGTATACAACCAATGCTACAGAAATGTATAAATACTTAGTGTTAGGGTCCATCACTTAGAACTAAAATAATTGTTTCATGTTGTGTTGAAGTAGGGGCAGGGTGGATCTCTGTGGCTCTGCAATTGGAATTGGCATAGGGTTCTGAGGAGTTCACCAGAACTTCACCAAGAGGAATTCTGTTGATCCTTAGAGGAAGCTCTCAAACTCTTGATAGAAAGTGGGGTAGTGACCTCTGCCAGGGGTTTGGAACTTGCTGTTCAGAATGGTTACCGGTAACTGCTTTTATAGGTCTTTGACCATTGACTGGTTTAATTTGATAAACTTTGTCCTGGCATTGTCTTCTCCACAATATGGTTCCATTGGTTCAAGTTGCTATGCTTTATGTGTTTGTGGTTTTATTTCTCTTGCTGAAAGTGTACAACCAATGCTACAGAAATGTATAAATACTTAGTGTTAGGGTCCATCACTTAGAACTAAAATAATTGTTTCATGTTGTGTTGTTTAAATCCTCAACAAAAACAACTTTTTATGAGGTCAATCCCACACAAAATCCTTCTTGAATTCTCTTTGAAAATGAAAAAGTACATGTATTGACAAAAACTCAATTAGAGAGAGGGAAAACATAGTGATTGTATTAGCTTTTAAATGATCATGCAATTCAAACCCAGATTTTTCCAGCTTAGTAATCTTTGAACCTTGCCATCAGGAGTCTTAAAATCTGAGTCTTCTTCAAGGGACAGAAGGGCCATTTCACCACCTCTTTACTATACATTTGGGAATATCTGAGATGGTTCACTGCACCTTTCACAGACTTAACCATTCTTCCATTTGGCTTACATAAGTTAGCCACCAAACCAAGGAATACAAACTTGATTCTGAGATTAGTTTTTCCAAAGACATTGTCCTTTTTTGCTCATTAATTATTACAGTGACATTGTGTCATGGCACTACAACAGCATTAAGCTGAAGAAGAGTTACATCTTAACTGGTAAATTGGATGGGTATGATTCATTTTTTGTGGTTTACTTGTTTAATAAGTTTATTTACTATTAACTTTCTGTTTGAATACCTATGGTAAGAAGATTTCCTGTCAATCTTGTTTAAGATAAAGTCTCTTTTCTTTTGCCTTTGAAATGCAGTTCCAGTACTTCAGTTCCATAAAATGATGTTCCCTGTTCTTGGTTACTATTTTTCACTAAAATGCAGGATTGCAATCTGTAGGCTGAGAATACCATTTCTCAACAGATTTTGGACATAAGAAAAATACTGAAGAAATCACAAGTGGCATTATCTTTCACTGTTTGAAATATTTTGCCTGTCAGATGCTTTCCTATCATTCCATATGTCATCATTCTCTTTTATGGAAAGTTTATGACGCATAACTTTTCACATTTGGATGAGGTTGTTATGCACTTCTTCTGTGTGTGGCATTTGTTTTCTATGGTAGTTGTAAGTGATAGAGCGGCAGGGTCATCAGAAGTTGTAGCTGTTTAGGACTCTGCCGTTGGGAATGATGCTGGTTAGTGCTACTGAGGTGATGAGCTTTTGTAGAGCATTATTACTAGTCATCTCCCATACACAACTTTCATAATGGCTGATAGCACTTAAACATGAAATTGAGGTCAGAAAGGTTACCCATGAGGATAACAACTGTAAGCAAAAGGTCAAGTTAGGCTAAAAAGGCTAGCTGTTTTGACTTGATTCTTTCAAATTATAATTAAGAAGAGGAAATGCTGACTCATTTTTGTGTTCCAGAATGTACAAAGATAGAATTAAAACTTGAGAATCAAGAGAGGAAATCAATTGACAGAACTAAAGTAAATCCCGAGACATTCTTGTGAGATTGATCCAATAGCTTCTAGAAAGGCATGAACTTACATGAACAATGACAAAGTGAATTACTGGCCAAGCCACTATGGTAATTTGAACAATGCATATTGCCAAACCTTGTTTTGAAAGAAAAGACACTGGAAAGTAATTTCTGGGAATAGCAGAATGTCACAAACGCACAGAATTTTAACATAGAGGATAGAGTATGAAAACTCTAACTGCTAAAATTATGTTATTCTCCCCTTCTCTACGGATTAATTTTTTTTCGTTATGAAAGGAAACTTTTTGTTGCAGTATTTAGTTAACTATTTTGTTGATAAACTTGGGTGTTTAATTTATGCACAAGCACCAGGGTTTGTGTTTGAGCTTGTGCTAAATATTGGTAACCTTGGAAGAAGTATGGTATAATTGTACAACCTCTTTAATAATACAGGTTGTTAATTGGCATGATATGTGTCATGCACAAAACACAAAGTCTCCGACACTTCTAGAATCTTCAACAGTGAAGAAGGGAAGAAATGCAGGTGCCATATGTTCATGTACTTGTGTGAGCTCAAGATCACAAGGTCATAAGACCACCATTAGGCAGCTCAATGGGAGAATGAACTCATTTGAGCCAATTGAAATAGTTCATCAAAAGTAATTTTACAATTGTAATTCAAAGCAGACACAGAATAGTTAGGCAATGGTGCTTCTTTGGTCAGACAAGTAA